GCCGCCGCCGCCTGTCGTCGTCGGCGTCGTCGTCGTCGCCGCCGTCGTCGTCGCCGTCGCCGCCGTCGCCGTCGTCGTCGTCGTTGTCGTCGTCTTCGTCGTCGTCTTCGTCGTCGCCGCCGCCGCCGCCGCCGCCGTCGTCGTCGTCGTCGTCGTCGTCGTCGTCGTCGTCGTCGTCGTCGTCGTCGTCGCAGAGGCCGAGCATTCTCCTAAGCCTCCGCCGAGCCTCCAGCAGCACCACGTCCGAGTCGCTCGCCGAGTGCTGCGGCGAGGCCTCGGCGACCTGAGGGGCAACGCTACGGAGGGGGGAACTGCTCCCTGGCCTGCCGCGGCGGCGGCTCCCGGAGAGGGGGGGATAGGCCCTCTGGTGGGGACGGCACGTTCGAGGTTCGAGGTTTTCGGGCTTTCTCGTCGGTCCTCGACGCTCTTCTGGCTCTCCAGCAGCTGCGCCTCACCGAGATGCGTCCTGGGGTGCCCGGATTGTCCCGCACGACCGCTGGAGGCCCGAGCTCCCCTGACTGATCTCCACCTCCCACACCTTCCGACCAGCAGGCGGCTGCCCTGGTGCTCCTCTCGAGGGACCGACTGCTCGAGAAACATCAGCTTTCGGAGCTCCGCGCGGTTTCTCTGGGTCGACGCCGGACCCCCCGGGCGGCGCCTCCAGCGCCGCCTCTGGCGCGCTCGCGCGCCAAGGACGGGGGCCCACCGCATTCCCCCACGCCTTCACGACGCCGGGGAACAACGTGGACCCCTGGAGGTCTGGACCCCTTCCCCAGGCCGATCTCTGACGGCCAGAGGGCCCATAGAGAGAAAGAGAGAGAGAGAGAGAGAGCCACCAGAGACCGAGAACGCGGCCAGAAACCGTCGGTCTTGAATTTTTCCCACGGCGTGAGGACGCGCGGCCGACCGAGGCAGCAGTGGGCGACCGAAGTGTACAAGACAGCGCAGCAAATCTGAGGTACTTCTGCTCTGTCCTCCACTTCCTCTCCCTCCTCTGTCTCGCTCTGCGTAATTCCCCCAGGGCGGTCGCCACTCGCGCGCTCTTTTGCGCCCACGCGTCCTTTCTGGATGCTCGGCTTAGTGGTGGTGGCAGCGAGAGGACGTGCGGGAGCGGGTCTTGGTCCTCCTCCTCCTCCTCCTCCTCCTCCTCCTCCTCCTCCTCCTCGATCCTCCTCCTCCTCCTCCTCGATCCTCCTCC